TTCCCCTCCTCCCCCTCTCCCTCCTCCCCCTCTCCCTCCTCCTTCTCCCCCTCCTCCTTCTCCACCTCCCCCTCTTCCCTCCCCACCCACGACCCTTGCGGAGTAAGCTGCGGCGACAGCGGCGGACTCCCCCTCGGCGTCGGCGGCAGACTCGGCGTCGCCAGCCGGCCCTGCGCGCGCGTCTCCTCGATCGCCGCCACCCACTGCCTAGCCGGTCCGCTCACCCGCCTGAGGTACTCCTTCTTCAGCACGGTGAGCACCGCGCCGGCTTTGGGCCCGTGCGAGAAGCAGTGCGATTGCGAGGGCCGCTTGTCTTCTCGGCAGTGCGGGCAGTACCGGTCGTCGTCCGGGAGCTGGGCTGAGTTGGGCATGGCGTGGGTGTGGGGGGGTTGTGGGTTGTGGGTTGTGGGTATTTATTGTGGTGTTGGTGGGTGATTGGTGGTTGGTGGATAGATGGATGGATGGAGGGATGGAGGGATGTGGGTGGATGGGTGGGGAGATCTGGGTTGTTTGCGAGGTTGCTGGTGTTGTGTTACCTTGGGGATGTAGGGATTGCGGCTTTTCTTGGGAGGGCTTTCTGGAGGGGAACCTCGGAGAAGTTTTCGGGGCTTCAAAGGAAGTATTGCTGGTGTGAGCTTTGGAAGTGGTTGATGGAGATTAGAATGGAAAATAGCAAAGCAAAGTCGTCTCGGAGGATTTATACGTTTTTGATGGAGGCTGCGAGAGAAAGAGAGAGAGAGAACGGTGTTGGAACCATACGTGTGTTAATCACAGCCCTTGAGTATATGGTTATCATTTTGAAATAGCATGTTTATGAATGTTGCATCTGCAAGCAGGTAATGCTCGCCAGCGAGCAACTGAATCTTTGAATCCTTGACTCAAGCTAAGGCCCCGGTGACTAGGTCCATATATTAGAAATTTGACCACATATGAATAAGACCGCTTGACAGCCTAATACTCTTCAGCTTCAAACCGAATTTTAATTTTAATTTTCCATAGCTTTTACTGTCGTGAAACTCCTTGACTACGAAAATGAAGAGAAGCGCAGTAATAAAGTAAGAAAACGGGCCAGATAACAGAACATCTGCTGGAGAAGAGGGAGTTTATGAGATTATCAATTTCGCATAATAATAAACAAGAGGTAGCAAGCAGCATGGATAAAATAGCGTACAGCAAACTCCAGCAATGCCGCCTCCCATATTCCATGTCCAACTCCGAGCCAGGCAAATCCATCACGCAAGTATATATGTTAGAGATCCAAAAGCAAGAAAGAAACACACAATAATGTTAACAACCACATCTCTCTCTGCCTTCCAGTATTCCCATCGGACATTCATCGAACACCTGTTCCGTTGCCCGTCGCCTAGCATCCTCCACCCCTTTCATCTCTAGGTAACGGAGAAGACCGTCGTTCTTTTTTCTGGTTTTCAGAAGACACATGGGGATGACCGACCGAATGTGGCAAATTGCTGCCTTCCCCGCACCCCGCAAGGGGATCTACTCAGTATCTTCGCCCTGAATTTCCAAAGGTACTCTCTCCTTCTCTCCCTTCTCTCCCTTCTCTCGCTCCCTCACTCTTCCAAATATATTCTCCTCCCTCCGAAAACACAGAGGAAGTAGGACTCTGCAACGCCGAGGTGGTAGCTTGATGATTCTCCGTGCGACTCTCTACCGCCGACCTGGCCCCTGTTCCTCCGAAATCCGCGAAGGCTGTATCCTCTCTGGAGCCAAAGCCTGCGGGTGGCCCGGTTCTGAGATCTGAGAAAGAGGGTCCAGCAGGGAAGTCACGAAATTGGGATTGGGGAGCGGCATTACGCGCTAGTCCTGGTGTGATCGGAACCGCGAATTCAGAGCTGGGCGATGTAGCCTCTTCGTCTTCAAATGGGTGCTCGGAAGATCGTTGGCGGCGATCGGTGAACAGAGGTGTTGTTGCTGGGACGTTCAATTGCAGATGGGCGGGTAGTCCGCTGTGTGAAGAGGAAGAAGTATCGAACTGTTGGGCCTGGAATAGTGGTCTTGGGGGAGGAGGTGGTTGGTGGAAATCCAAGCCGCGGGGTCTGAATTCATCTTCGTCGAAGTGGTGTGCTCTGGAATCAGGGAACGCTTCTTCACGCTCGTACTCGCGCGAATAGGCTGCATCACGTTCATACTCGGGTGAATAGGCTGCAGGATCATCAAGCGGCTGCGAGCTGGTAGAAGCCTGACGTCCAAGATCTGGGAAAGCCGGGGCGCGGGCATATGCGTCCAGGTCGCGAGGTCTAAAGTCATTCTCGTTGTTCTGGTCGTCCAAGTCTTCTTCAAAGGGTCGACGAGGTAGGCGTAGGGGAAAAGTGGGGAGGTCACGTGCCGCTGCATTCGTCTCGGAGTCCCGAGATCTGACCTCGTCGGCCTCTAGCGTTCGTAATGGCGATCTGGATCTTCTGCCTATATTGGGGAATGCAGGTGCGTCGTATCTCTGCTCTGAACCGAAACCGCCATAGGAATCATCGGCAGGCCGTCTTAGATCAGGCGAGGTTGGTCGCAGGTCTTGTTGTGTTGAATCCGGACGATAGGCTCCAAGTTCGTGAGATCTCAAATCATCATAGCCAGCTGGCTGTGTAGCCCCTGTCTGTATCGGGCGTTGGAAGCCTGGAGACTGGTCCCATTCGTCCTCTGAGGAGGGGCCATCGTCTGAGTCGTATTGTTGAGTAGGCGGTTGTTGTCTGACCTCTGGAAAAGATGCAATATCTACTCTGGGTTCAGGCAAACGACCATCCGAGTCGTACGCAGGCTGCAGTGGTTGTCTGGATGAAAGTTCTGGAAATCCTTGAGAATTCTGCTGAAAGCGGGCAGAGTCTTCGTCATCCGATTCATCGTAGATCCGTTGCGCCGTGGCGGGCTGGCCAAGGTCTGGAAAGACGGGGGCACGCCGTTCGAGCTCGGGCGATTGAGCTTCGCCTGAACTACGGGTTCGTCCTTCAGCCGGTGGTTGCTGTCCTAGGCCAGGGAAAGCCGGAAGCTCTCTCCTCAAGTCTGGAGAGCGGTTATCATCTGAATCATACATCTGTTGTGTCGTGGCTGACTGGCCAAAATTAGGGAAGACGGGAGCACGCCGTTCGGACTCGGGCGATTGAGCTTCGCTTGAGCCATAGGTTCGTTCCTCGGCCGATGGTTGCTGTCCTTGGCCTAGGCCAGGGAACGACGGAAGCTCTCTCCTGAAATCTTGGGAGCGGGCATCATGAATCTGCTGGTCAGGCACTGGATGCCTGAAGTTGGGGAAGATAGGAGCACGTCGTTCGATGTCGGTTGATGGAACATCGGCTGAATCGTAATTTTGTTGCCCCGCTGGCGTTTGTTGCCGGTCTAGACCGGGAAAAGCTGGGAGCTCTCTTTCAAGGCTTGCATGACGATCTTCGTCCGCATCATACGTTTGCTGATGTTGACCTGGTACGGGTTGTCCAAAGTTCGGAAGCAGAGGAATCCTGCGCTGGAGTTCCGGCGATTGGGCGCGATCAGAGTCGTATGTCTCTGGTGCAAGTGCACCCTGTTGAGCCTGTGAGGATTGTGGGGGCTCTCGTCTGAAGCCCGGAGTGTCATCGTCATCTGAATCATATATCTGCTCAGGCGCCGGCTGTCCAAAGCTCGGGAAAACAGGTGCGTGGCGCTCAGATCGGGGCGATTGGGCATATTCAGAGTCGTTGTCGGATTGAATAGGCGCGTTTTGCCGAGCTTGCGAGGAAGTTGATAGCTCTCTTCTGAATTCAGTGACTCATCGTCTCGAGGCTCATCCATCTGCTGCGCTGGCAACTGCTGTCCAAAGCTTGGGAAAACAGGTGCGCGGCGCTCAAGCTCCGGTGATTGAGCATAATCAGAGTCGTTATCGTATTGAACAGGCGCGTTCTGCCGAGCTTGCGAGGAAGTTGATAGTTCTCTTCTGAAATCTGGTGTCTGATCGTTATGGGACTCATACATCTGCTGCGCTGGTCCCCGTTGGTCAAAGTCC